TGGAGGGGGTGAAGGGAGGGCAAGGGAAGGGGAAAAAAATAAGAACCAAGAGACTCATGTAAAGGTACAAGATCCCAATGATGATTGTAACTGTATTTTATACCGAAAATGTACCAATAAACTTAATGGGAAAAAAAAAAGATATGGCAGATTAGGGACTGGAATCCAAGTCTGTCTGCCTATAGATCCCAAGATCTTGCGGTTTTCCATATACCATGCTACCCCTCCAGATGCAGATACCCCATTGTCACACTGAGTGGGCTCAAGTCGGGCCTTACTGGCTGTATCAAAGGCAGTCTGGGTCAGTTAGGAGGATGGTACTTTTCATCCAGGCCTTGGAGGCATAGAGAAGTGCTCCAAGGGACCACTGAGCCAGGGGCATGAACTAGCAGTTCAAGGAATTGCCTGCAGATCACAGGTGCCAACTTCCTATGAGACACTGAGCAACTGGGATAGCCAGCCTGGCAATGAGATGCCAGGGGCACATCCAACAAGCGGGTAGGGACTCCTCTGAGGCAAAGGCTGGAGTTCTCAAGGTGACATCTCTCCTCATAAAATGGAAATATCCCAACACTAGACTGTGAAGGCCTCGTGATGCCCAGCCTACCATTAGGTACAGTGACTTCCAGAGCAGAGGAGAAAGTGTGCCTAGAGAAGCCCAGATCTCCTCCAGGCAGAAGGTTAGAAACACCAGTAAAGCCAGGTGTGTTTGGCTGATGGCTGGGACAGTGTGCCTCCCAGATCACAAACGTGTACAAATTATTATCAGTTTCTTCCAAAGTGGGGAGGTACCCTAGTTTATCATTCTGTACTCAGACACTCAGAAAATTGCCTTAAAAATTGCCTACAAAGAACAGGACAGTGAACTGGAGTTATGCTAAAAAATATACACAGTGAAACAGCTAATACTTGGCCTTGCTATATTCTGCAGTCTGGTGCTCACTGATTATAATAATGACCTAGAGGCCCTTGCAAGATTCTCGTGTTCTTTTGAAACATCATAAAAAAGTCTATTATGTTCAGTCTAACTTTAGTATTTTGTATGTGTTGCTGGGTTTTATCTACATGACAATTGGTAAACCATGCATGGGATATATAGTAACCATTGACCAGAATATTCAACTCACTACACTAAACTATTTCTAAATATGGTAGTATATGTAGAGTTTCTCCAGCCCTTAAAAGTTCCTTAGAAGGCTTATGAGAAGCCCAGAAGGCTTATTTCCCCGGATTTCTCCAGGATACAGGGAGCTCAGGGGTGGAGAGAGCTGGCAACTGGTTCTGGATTTCCTTACTTTCCTTCTTTTTTTTTTTGGTACCAGGGATCAAACTCAGGACTTTGTGCTTGCAAGGCAGGAACGGAGCCGCTGAGCTATAAATCCCAGGCTGGATTTCCTACTACCCAGGAATAGATGGAGAATTGGCCTCTGAGACATTCTCTAAGCTCAGATGATTTCTCGGCTTTCAAACACAGGCGCTATTCTGTGTGACTGCTGAATTTCCCCCAGGTAAATGCAGATCCTTACTGTATTGTCATTACTCTTTAATCATCTGTTTGAATTTCTCCCATTAGCCTGTAAGCTATGTGAGGACCAGCACAAGGACCATGTCTGTTATTCTTGGCTGTACCCCAATGCTGGGCATACATAGTGAGCACGTGAGGAATATTTGTGTAATGAGTAAGTGAAGTACCTACTTTGGTGAAGCTACTGAGAAGGAATTCCTTTCCTACCACTTCCCCATTTTCTCTTTTTCCTCAATCTGGGAGAGCCGGATGCTTGTCTTTCCCTAATGTTGGTTTAACAGTATCTTTTAGGCCCAAGAGGCTGAACAATGAATGGGGCTAGCTAAGAGCCAGAAGCTGCTATGGGACAAAAATATAGAGCTGGCAGGATCTCCTCCTCCTTTCCAGAGAGACCAGCCCCTGCACAGGTTGTGGCTTTGGGCCCTGAGGAAAAGCCCAGCTTGGGTTTGAGGTTGGGAGGATGCTTACTCCTATAGGCCTTTGCTAAAGAACAAATTGTCAGCATTGAGGCTTCTATACTGAGGTACAAGTGAGGACTGACGGTGGAAAGTAATCTCAGCTTTGGACCTTGGTTCTAAAGTTCTACAGGATGGACTGATAAACTCTCCACTGTACCCCAGGCTGAGATCTCCTCATGATGGCCTTCCCTTCCTAGAGGCCATGAGATAAGATGTGCACAGCACTGCTGGAGCTGTGCTAGGGTGACTGCACCTCAGCAAAGTCGGGCAGAGCTGGGATGCTCACCATATACCACCCAGCAAGAGTACTTGGTAGCTACTATCAACCTAGCACTTAGCAGTTCAGGGGACCAAGAAACTGGGCCTAAGCAGCTCACTGAACCCTGGGGAGGTGATACCAAACTCAAATTCTTGTTTTTCTCACCAGAAGAGACAGGGAAGGAAGAACTGAAGCATTTTTATTTGTCTCTACCCCAGAGTTGACTGTTTCTTCCCTAAGGAGGAAAAGCTCTACAACAGTGGAGATAACACAGTGGTCCATTTGGCCCCTGCATGAACATAGAAACCCAGTGCTAGGGGACAGGCTGAACCTCTGTCACTCTACAGCACAAGGGAGCTCTCAGGAATCAGGGAGGGGGGCTCTAAAGCCTGCCTAGCTGTAAGAGAATCCAATGAAGCAGGTTTGCCTTTGGAAAAGCCACAGAGAAGCAACATGGAAGGTGTTTAAGCTGCAGGGACGCATGAAACTTGTGTCCTTCCCTTAGTGCCACTATCCCCAGAGCAAGAGAAATACTTGGAGCAAGGATTGGCTAGGGTGCTAATGGGATGGCAGAAACCTTTGATCAGAGAAGGCATGACTACAGAGCCACCCCTAGTGCCTTCTGAAAGCGAATCCACCCAAACAACTCTGTCATCTCTGGTCCTTGGCTGGATTCCAAGTCCTTCCTTTTGCCTTTCCTTCCTGTCCCCCTTTCCCTCTCTATCTTACTCAGTAAGAGATATACGTAATTTACTTGGATGTGATTAGAGAGAGGAGAACCACAGGTAACACTAATAATGCTAATGCTGGATTTTCCAGCATTTGGTCATCTGGCCACCACTTTGGAGCTGTTCACCCGGCGATGTGCAGCACCTCACCCCCTTGGTTTCCTTCTATTCCTACTCAGTCCCCACCCACCACCCCCTGCCAGGTATTGGGGATTGAACCCAGGGCCTTTGCACTGAGCTACATCCCTACCCGCCTTCCTCTTTACAAAAAAAAAAAAAATTTTTTTTTTAGAAATTTTGAGACAAGGTCTCACTAAGTTACTAAGTTGCCCAGGCTTGAATTTGTGATCCTCCTGCCTTAGCCCCTCAGAGTGCTGAGGCTGTAGGCATGTACCACCACACCTGGTCTCCCTTGCTTTTGTATGTGAAGTCCTCTTTATATGCTTTGGGGCCACCTATGCTTTCCCAAATCTGTCTTGGTAGATGGCCCTTTAGTTCCTGTGGACAGTGCTATGAGACATGGTCTTTGTGACAGACTTGTTCGTGAGGGAGACACATGGTCTTTGTGACGGACTTGTTCATGAGGGAGAGACATGAGAGGACGTGATACACAGCCCTCAGAGTGCTGGGTCATCTACCAGGAGTGTTCTTCTACTCTCAAAAATCCCAATCTAGATCAGCTGTGACCACACTGAAAACCAAGAAAGTCTCGAAGAGATAAAAATAGTCCAGTGGCAAGGGCAAGTGGATTAAGGACATTCAGTTATATGGAAAGGGTAACTACTGGGTGTTAAGTCTCCACTTTTCTCATGATGCTTGGGGGTTGGGAGGGCGCTTACTGCATGTACAAGAACCTGATACCTAACATGTGGAGTACCTGCTCCCTGAGTCACCTCCTTTTCCTGCCACTTTGGTTTGGGGCAGCAGTGCCTGGGCTGGGCTAATTTTTCCAAAGGCCCCTGAGCAGGACAGCTGGTCAGAAGTGGCTACACTGAGTTGCCTAACTGGGAGGCCTTGTTTGAGGGTTGCACTTGTCCTTTATGATTATCCTATCCTATCTTAAGCCTTCTTTGGGGCCTGCCCTGTCTTTCCTCCTTCAATGGCCTCATATTTCAGGCAGCCTTGTCAATCATCACTATGATGAACAAAAAGAAAGGTTTTTTTGGTTGTTGTTAAAGAAAGGCTTTATCTTCAGCTCTGCTTCAATTAAGCCAGAATATGCAAACATCTCCCCTACTAGATCTCTGAACCTCTAAAGAGTTGCCTTAGATTCAATGCAATTCTATTTTTCTTTTTTTTTGACGTGGTGTCTCACTATGTTCCCTAGGCTGGCCATAAATGTGAGATCTTCCTGTCTCAGCCTCCCAAGTACCTGAGATTATAGGCACATACCATGATGCCTGGCCAGTGCAATTCTTTTTTTTTTTTTTGGTACTGGGGATCCAACTTGGGACCTTGTGCTTGTGAGGCAGGCAGTGGAACCACTGAGCTAAATCCCCAGCCCCCCAGTGCAATTCTTTAACTGGCTCATTCCTGTGTTTGCTATTTTTATCTTACATTCATTCACTGACTCAACTTCAATGTGTTGTCACAGGCCTCCTTTGTGGAATAGGCGCATGTGAAGGCTGGCTGCCTTTCCCATTGGGGTGTTCCAGGGAGGATGCATGCTACAGTGCCTGGCTTCTGCTAAATCAGGCACCGTCAGCATGCAGTGAGCACTAAGGCAGTGGAGCTCTTCCCTCCAAGTCTCCAGGGTCCAAAGGGTTGCCAGCACATTAGGAAGGGAGGCTGAGCCCTACCTGCCTTGATCATTGGAGGTGGAAGAGGTTGGGTGGCAGGCCTGGAAAAGACCATCTTCCTGGAATCCAGCAGGAGGCGGCAGTACCCTGCAATCAGGCAGGCAAAGTTGGTGGCTTCAGGCCACTCCATCAACAGAACCAGAGGCTGGGGAAGAGATGGGAAGACACATACAGATGTGAGAAGGCACAGGCACATGCATTTCTGGGAGGATGGTAACAGAGAAAAGATGACTTGTATAGTTCAGGAACCATATTTTCTAAATCAAAAATTGAGGCAGTCTTGACAAAGTGTTTTCTTTTTTTTTTTTTTTTTTGAGACAGGGTCTCACTATGTAGTTCAGACTGGCCTTGAACTCACTCTCTAGGCTGGTCTCGAACTCACAGCGATCCTCCTGTCTCAGCCTCCCAAGTGCTGGGATTACAGACTGTGCCACCACACCTGGTGACAAAGTGTTTTCTGATTTGGGAAGTTCTTTGTAGTAAATTTTTACTCAGGTATCAAAATGAAATCAACTTTTACTCACATGTTTAATGAATCACCTTGTATGAGAAGTGGGGCAGATAGGGAATGAGATAGGGCCCCAGTGAAGTTTTTGGCAAATCTCGACTACAAAGAGTTAAATCTTTATTACAGAGAGCAATTAAGAAAACCATGGAGAACCGATAAGCAGCCTGGCCCCATTTGGCGCCAGGGCCCTAGTTTGTTTTTCTAGCTCCAGTTAAGTACAAAGGAGACAAAGTGGGGAAGGGGTTATAAAATAAATATACCTGTACATGTGCACACAAACACACACACACATATTCTCACCATGTTACTGCACTAAAGTATACGTGTATCCCTTTACTAACTGCTAACTCGGCCTTGTATGTAATGCCCGTCATAAATCTTAGAGATAGCACCCTGGAAGGACAAAGAAGTACAAATGAGCTTACCCTAGAATTTGCACGTAGACAATGGAGAAGGTCAGTGGCCAAATCAGGGGTCTCACAGCCTGAAATAGCCAATCAAGTCATAACAAATTTTAGAGGGGAGAGTCCTTTCTTGCCATATAATAAAAGGGGCCAAGAACAAGACCCTTGAGCACGAGCTCTGGGCTCCCTACTTTACTTTCAACAAGGTAGCCAGCTGTCTATCTCATTTCTCTCCTCTTTCTAATAAAGTGATTTTGTTTCTGCTTTGAAACTTTTACCTCTAATTTTTTTTTTGGTTTTGTTTTTGTTTGTTTTATTGAGACAGGGTCTCACTTTATAGTCCAGGCTGGCCCTGAACTCACTATGTAGCCCAGGCTGGCCTTGAACTTGTGGTGATACTCTTGCCTCAACCTCCCGAGTGCTGGGATTACAGGCATGAGCCACCAAGCTTGGCCTGTAATGTTTTATTTATATAAGTTTACGATCCTGGTTAAAGTTTACCCTCACGAGACATGACAATCTGTACTGAAAAAAGACTAGAATTATATAACATCATGTGACTGCGGTGTGGCTGTATTTGTGTTTGTCAGAGCTCAGGAGCTATGAGGGCCAGAGTGAAGCTGGGAGTCCAGGCCAGGCTGAGGATCGGCCTGGAACATTCTTGACTAGAAGCATCTTGGGCATAAAGATTATCTCTTGCTTATCTCTGTATGGTCCTATAACAACATTCAGAACAGCTCCCTGGACCTAGAAGACACTCTGGAATCAAGTCCTGGCTGTGCCTTTAGGGTTAAAGCCTTTCTGGCCTGTAGACTTGCTCAGATTTTCCTGTTCTACCCTTTATCTTCTATTTCCCAAAGTGGGCTATGAAATGTTCATTGGTGTTGCCCCCTACCTCCCCTTGAGGACTGAACCCAGGGCCTTTGCACTGAGCTACATCCCAGCCCTTTTTACTTTTTATTTTGCGACAGTCTTGCTAAGTGGCTAAATTGCCCAGCTGGGTTTGAACTTGGGATCCTTCTGCCTCACCATCTCAGAGTTCTTGGGGTTATAGGTACTCCCCATCACACTTGAATCACTGATAAAAGACGTCCTTGGTTAAATGTTTGTGATGCTAGGTTAAACAAAACTATGCAGTTAGTTTTACTATGGGAATTCTCAAACCTTATACTACATTAATGTACCCTGGAAACTTCAAGGAGGGCATTGAGTATTCCAAGTTTTTTAAATTTACTTGACTACAATGATCTATTTTAATAGAACATTTCATAGTAACAAGGTTGTTGTTGCTTTTATTTTGATGGTGCTGGGGAATCAAACCCAGGGCCTCATGCCTGTTAGGCAAGTACCTACAGACCTATTTTGCTATTTTTAACCCACTTTGGGAAATACTAGCATTCTCTGTTGACTTCTCTCTCACCTTAAAATCCATCAAATTAATCCAGCAGTCAGTGGGAGACTGTTCAGTTTGGATTTGGAATGTCCCCCTAAAGCTCTCTCTTTTTTTTTTCCTGGTACCTGGAATTGAACTCAGGACCTTTCACTTGCCAGGCAGGCATAGCTAAAGCTCATGTTGAAGGCTTGGTCCCCAATGCAGCACCTGATTAGATCATGAAAAGGCGAACTTCATCAATGAGCTTGGGGGAGGGGCTTTGTTAAAAAAGGGAGTTCTCAACTGGGGTAGTGGTAACATGTCTGTAATCCCAGCACTCTGGGAGGCTGAGGCAGGAGTTCCCACCCAGTCTGGGAACTTCAGAGAGATCCTATCTCAAAAATAGGGGTGGGGCTGGAAATGTAGTCCAGTGTGAAGGGCCTGAGCATTTTATAGTTCATGTAGACCAGGGGTTGGCACATTTTTTTTGGCACATTTTTTTTCTATAAAGGGCTAGATAGTAAATATTTCAGGTCTTATGGGCCATAAAGGCTCTGTTGCAACAAGACTGTCATCACAGTATGAAAACAGCATAGATAATCTATAAACTAAACGAATGAATGTGACTGTGTTCTAATAAAAACTTTATTTACAGAAAAAGGTGCTGGGTCAGATTTGGCTCATGGGCCATAGTCTGCCACCTGATCTATTCACCACATCACTCTGCTTGTTACTTTTGCCAACAGTGATCACTTTTTCCTTTGGAAATTCTCTTACTGGCTTCTGTTTCTGTGAGGTGACATGGTGTGCCACCTATCTCTGCCTCTCCCTGACTGGTGCTTTTTGTGCAACCTCCTCACCTTATTTAGGCCCCGGGCTCTATCTACAGCCCTCATTTCTCCATCAGGGCATCAGGTTATATTGGGGTTCCTGAATCAGCATCTCCATTCCCCCTAGAAGTCTTTTCCTATCTTAGAACTCATACGGTGCTCTGTCTATACCATACAATCGCGTGCCGGAGTAGAAACTATCTAGAATTGTTTAATGGTTATCGTGCATCCAATGACACTGCATGCCACAGTAGGGCATTTGGATTCTGTCTCACAGGCACCAAGTTAGTGATGCTTCTATGGAATTCATTAAATACCTTTGAGTGGGAAAAGGCACAGTCTGTACCCTGAAGAGCAACAGTTCTTTTCTCCAGTGAAAAAGGGGCCAGGGATGTAATGTTATTTTTGAGTCATTATTAGGAAGGGACACGGGGGATGTTTGTATCTCCAGTTAATGGATGCTTCTCAGTCACAACAGAACAGTCAACCCTACGTACAACAGAAAGACACGGGGGATGGAATTGGACTGAGGGAGCAGATATCCCTTCCGGCCTCATTCCTCATCACGAACAGCAGGACACACAGAGGTTTGGGTGTGGATGGCTGCTACTACTATTACTACGAGAAGAGCCCAAGACTCACTAGATTGCCTCAGGAGCATTCACAAATATCCTGGCCATCCCTCCTGCTGCTGTTTTATTTCCGGCCCTTAGCATCTTCCTCCCAGAGCCATTCTTCTCAAGGTATATGTGAATGGCTGATAGGTGTGCTGAGGTACTGGCAGTGTGTGTGTGTGTGTGCGCGCGCGCGCGCGCGCGCGCGCGCGCACGTGTTCTGTTGCCTCTGGCCACTGCCTTATCTGTGAATATGTTTTGTCATACAAATCAAGACATTTTCTCACCACAGGGAAGAGGCTGGGGCCTAGTAACTTGGAGACCTCAAGTAGCTTCCTGATTGGCCTTTCTTCTTCCAGTATTCTCACATTCCACCCTCATAATACAGGCTGAGGGGCTCCTTCCTGCCTTCGTTCCTTTCCTCCCTCCTTCCTTTCTTTCTTTCCTTCCTTCCTTTTTCAGTGTTGCTGCTGGAACCTGAGGCCTTATGCATGCTAGGCAAATACACTATCACCGAGCTTACACCCTCTCCTCTCCTGAGGGTCTTTTTATATTTATTTATTTATTAATTTACTTATTTTTTTTTTTTTGAGACAGGGTCTAGCTTTGTAGTCAGGCTGTCCCTGAACTCACTATGTAGCCCAGGCTGGCCTTGAACTCACAGCGATCCTTCTACCTCAGCCTCCCAAGTGCTGGGATTAGAGGCGAGCTATACCAGCCTGGCTGCTGCTGCTACTGTTTCTTCTGCTCCTGCTCCTGCTCCTTCCCCTTCTCCTCCTTCTTCTTCCCCTTGTCCTCTTCCTCCTCCTCTTCCTCCTTCTCCTTCCTTTTCTTCTTCTTCTTTTCCCTCCCTTTCTCTCTCTCCTCTTCCTCCTCTTCTTTGTATTTTTTTTTTGAGGTAGGGTCTTGCTCTGTATTCCAGGCTGGCCTTGAACCCACTATGTAGCCCAGGCTAGTCTCCAACTTGTGGGGGATCCCCCTGCCTCAGCCTCCCTGAGTGGTGGGATTAAGGGTATGCACCACTACGCCCTACTAAAGCACAACTCTTATTGTCATTTAAAACCATCAATAAACAGTTCATCACCTACAGGATAAAATCCTACAGCCTTACCAGGCAAGCAAAGCCCCTCTGGACCTGTACCCAGGCTGCACATCCAAATACATCTCCCTTAAGTCTGCCTGTGCCCTTCTCCCAGCACTGTCCCTCACCTTATGCTCCAGCAACGACACATCATTTACAGTTCACCCTGCTCTTTCACACCTTCATACCTGTGCTGTTCTCTCTGGCTGAAATGCTCCTGGACTCCGCTGTGTCCACCCAGAAAGCTGCTACAAACTAGCTAGATGTGTCCTGGAGGGCACGACCAACTCAGTTATATCCATTCGTTCCAGGACAGACCAACCCAGTTCCCACCCT